CCCGGCTTAATTTTTTGCTTTATTGTAGAGACGAGGTATCACCCGGTTGCCCAGGTTGGTCTCGACCCCATGGGCTCAGGCAGTCCTCTCACCTCAGCCTCCCAAAGTGCTGGGATCATAGGCGTGAGCGACTGCGCTCAGCCTTGTTGATGTTTTGACTCCCCAGCTTGACGATCTCCTGCGGCTCCCACTGTTTCTGGAGGAGTCCAGATTTCTTTCTGCCCGGAAGCCCTTGAGAACTGCCGTCCTGGTTGGGCCCTTTCTCGTGGCTGTGCTTTTCTCCATCCAGCTGGCCGAGGCCTGGTCGCTGCTGAGTGTGGACCCGTGGGGGGGTCTGGCTTCCTGCGTGGGGGGACCCACGCGCTTCTCACCTTCTCTCTTCGTCCAGGTGCTGCTGCACGAGGAGGCGGGTGATTCTGGCTTTGTCAGCCTGTCCCGCCTGGGCCCCTCTCTGAGGGACAAGGACCTGGAGATGGACGAGCTGGCGCTGCAGGACGAGACGCTGCTGGGGACCATGCAGAGCTACATGGACGCGTCCCTCCTCTCCCTCATCGAGGACTTCGGGAGCCTCGGAGAGGTGAGCGGGGCTTCTCAGGCAGGGGTGGGAGCGTCACGTGTAGGCTTCGGCCCAGATCCCTGGCGGTTTCAGGCACGGCTCCGTCCTCCCAGGACCTGGCTCTGGACGTCCATCCTGAGGCCCTGAAGTCTGTTTTTGCCTCTGTGTGAGAGTCAGGTTGCAGGCTGCCAGAGGATGTCTCATGCAAGGGTTCCCTGGCTGGCGTGGACTGTAGTCTGAGGCCTTTCCCCCTGCCTGGGCCGCTGACCCACATGTCCAGAGGTGCTCCCCTCTGCTTTTGAGCCCAGTTCTAGCCCAGCCAAGGCTTGTCTGCTGAGCATCCCATGTTACCTGGGGTGGGGGGAGCGTGTGAAACCCAAGCTGAAGGTTGAAGTCTGACGGGCCTGTGTTGACCCCAGAGAGGTGGTGGATGGTACCTGAGATGGGAACCCGTGCCTCCTGGTACTCAGACCCTTCTCAGTGCCCTGCAGGTCAGCAGGTCACTGGAGATGATGGGAGGGCCTTCCCGTTGTCTTTCTGGAGCAGAGCAGGTTGTCTCTGGAGGACCAGAATGAAGTGTCGCTGCTCACGGCGCTGACGGAGATCTTGGACAATGCAGATTCTGAGAACCTGTCTCCGTTTGACAGCATTCCCGACTCCGAGCTGTTTGTGTCCCCGCGAGAGGGCTCCTCTGTGAGTGTGGGACCAGGGCAAGGGTCGTGTGGGCGGGGCTGTGTCTGGGCCAGCTCATGGAGTTCTGAAGACAGACGGATCTCGGGTCTTTCTCTTACTCGTAGCTGCACAAGCTGCTTACTCTGTCTCGGACGCCCCCTGAACGTGACCTTATCAGCCCGACGGACCCACTGGGGCCCGGCACAGGCAGCAGCAGAGTGAGTGGGACAAGCCTGGCCCAGGGCCTCAGGAACTCCCGGGTGGCACGAGTATGTGGGGACAGGTCTGGAAGACATGCTTCCAGGGCAGATTCCTCCTGAGTTTTCCCTTCTTTCCTGCAGGCTGAGATGTCTCTCGTAGATGCCCCTTGGGACTTCCCCCCTCCCGCCTTCTTGGAGACCTCTTCCCCCAAACTTTCTAGCTGGAGACCCTCGCGATCGAGACCACGCCGGGGCCAGTCCCCACCCCCACAGCAGCGCAGTGACGGAGAGGAGGAGGAGGAGGTAGCCAGCTTCAACCAGATTCTTGCTGGGGAGCTCGACACTTCCGTGGGCAGCATCCCAGACTTCCCCATGCACTTGGCCTGCCCTGAGGAGGAAGGCACAGCTGCAGTCGCTGAGGTGGCCGTGCCAGCCGCTGGCGATGAGAGTGTCTCCTCCCTGAGCGAGCTGGTGCGGGCCATGCACCCATACTGCCTGCCCAGCCTCACCCAGCTGGCATCGCTGGAGGACGAGTTTCCGGAGCAGCCGGATGACGTGGCCCTGCCTGAGGGCTGCATGGTGCTGGAGATCGTGGGGCAGCCGGCCGCAGCTGGCGACGACCTGGAGATCCCAGTCGTGGTGCGGCGGGTCCCTGCGGGGCCCCAGGCTGCGCTCCTGGATGCCTCACTGGAGCCTGGGCCTGCCTTGCAGCTGCTCACGCCCACAGTGGTGCCGAAGGCCGCGGAGGCCGCTGTGCCCGGGGCGGCCCTCTGGCCTGCGGAGGCAAGGCTGTCGCCGGGCTCAGAGAAGTCGGACGCTGTGGCCTGCCTGTTGGAGCCCAGCGAGGTCCTGGAGCCAGTGCTGCCCAAGGGGCCTCAGAACCCACCTTCCAGCGGAGAGCTGGGCTCTCCGAGAGCTCGAAGGGGCAGGAGGAAGAAGAGCAGGGAGCCGCCGGCGGCCTGTGTGGAGGGCCCTGCTCGCAGGCTGAGGTCGTCCTCCCGGGGGCAGCCTGCCGTGACTGCGGAGGCGACCTCTCAGGCGGGCAGCTGGCAGAAGCAGCCCCAGGGCGAGCGCCAAAGAGAGATGAGGCCTCTCCAGGGCCGGGGCAAGCCCCGGGCTTGGGCTCGGGCCTGGGCAGCTGCCCTAGAGAAGCCTACTTCCGAGGACTCGGAGAAGAGTGCTGGACAGCCTAGTCCTGCCAGGGAAGGTCCTCTCAACCTCTGCCCCGAGCCGGTTGTGTCGGCCCAAGCTGACCCCATGTCTGCTGACACTGCTTCAGCTGGTGCCACCGCGGTCAGCCCTGCTCTGGCCGACCCTGTGTCGGCTGACCTCACTCCAGCCGGCTCAGAGCCGGTCGACCCCTTCCTGACTGGCCCGGCGCTATCGGACCCAGTCCTGGCTGACTCGGCAGCAGCCGACCCTGCGGTGACCGTTCCCGTCCCAGATCACCTACCACCAGTTGACGCTGGTCCCTGTGGCCCAGCGCCA